GAGGGAATTTTAAACCCATTTCAAGCGGGTTTTTTTTTTTTTTTTTAACTTCTTGCCTATATCTACTGCTTGCTAGCAGTAGATATAGGCAAAAAAAACCGGAGGGTTTAGAACCCCTTTAAAAGAGAACTATAGCCAAACCCTTTTTTTCTGCTTTAGTCCTCTTTTGGGTCAAATTTTCGATTGTTTACTAATGTTCTCCTGTGCCCCAAAGTCAGCATATAGCAGGCTACTGCCCGCTATATGCTGACTGTGCAGATCCGCGTTGTAGCCTGGAAAGATCCTGACAATATTGTCGGAAACCATCCCGCTGTCTGATTGACAGTTGGCTCTGCCTCTCTAGAGCCAGAGCCAGCTGTGCCCGCCCCTTCCCCTCTCTGTCTCTCCAGTGAGCACTGGAGGAACAGAGAGGGGAGGGTGGAATCCCTGTGGGGAGTGGTGAGTGACGGTCACACCGCTCTCTGCAGGGAGAAGCCGTGAGCTTAGTGATCAGCGCTTTGTGATCACTTAGTCCTCAGACTGGTGAACATACGTTTACTGATCTATCCACTGACTGGGACCCAATGCCCCCCTATGTGATAGCAATTTAGTAAAGGAAAAAAAAAAGATGAAATAAAATAAACCTAAAAATAAAAAAATTATATCAAATAACAATAAAAAAATGTTTTCTTTAAAAAGTCCCCTGCCACCATGAGTGCACACATATTAATGTAAACACGCGTTGGGTGCTCCTACATACGGAAAAGCGATCGTGCTACACATGTTAGTTATCGCCGCATTCACCAGAGTGAGGCCCCATTCACACCTAGGCGTATTGTAGTATGCGCGTCTGTCGCGCGACTGTCACGCGGTTTTTTACCGCGATTCGCGGTAAAAAAAGTCACGCGACCGTCGCGCGATTCCAAAGGCTACTTGGCTGTATCCCAATGGAAAACGCCCTACAAAACGGCCCAAAGTAGTCCCGGGACCTTTTCAGGCGTGGGCCGTTTTGTAGGGCGTTAGGGACGGGCGGAAATACGCCTAGGTGGGAACGAGGGCATTGACTACAATGCTATTTATTTTTTTGACCGTTTTGTAGCGCGTTCGTCGAGCGTAGGACACGCTACAAAACGGTCAGGTGTGAACGCAGCCTAAGAGCAACAATTCTAGAGCCGATATTCACAGATATCTATAAACTGATGACCTGCACAGGCTTTTAAAGCGTCACCTATGGACAATTTGGGCTACCGTATTATGTCGCCGTTTCACAGACGCACGCACATTTTTAACCTCGGCATGTTGGGTATCTATTTACTCGTCGTAACCTCATCTTTTATATTTTACAAAAAAAAAGGATATATTGTGTTTTTGGGCACTAAAATTAACTTTTCATTTTTGGGTTTGGTAAAGAGTTGAGGTAAAATTGTGAGACGTAAAAATTGGCAATTGCCAGCGTTTTATTCTACAGGGTCTTTGCTTTCCGGAAATATATACAGGCAGTCCCCAAGTTACAAACATCTGACTTGCATACGACCCCTACTATTACTGTACAGCAGGGGGTCCCAGGCTACAGCCAAAGTGTACCGCGCAGCATTTCAGTCGTTGTAATGCTACCGCGCTCGTGCCGATGAGGAGTGCCCGCCTTTTTGGGTCCAGTTCGTAGTACTGCATGTACATTACAGGAAGTTCGCTTTTGAAGGACGTACAGACAAGGGGATGCCCGCCTCTTCTTCCGGGTCACTGTCAGCTTTTTACTGCTGTCTGTATGCTCATTAGAAAGATTTAATCTCACTTCCTGTCCTTGAGACAACAGGAAGTGAGAGGACATCTACCTCTAGGAAGGGAAATTCACTACTGTAAGAGTTATCATGAGAAAAAGGAGTGTCCACTGAAGCTTTTATAACCAATCCTTGTTTCCACGACAACCCAAACTTTTCAAAATCCAATTGTGACCGGGACAGAAAATGAGGTGAAATCTTCTGAACAGGGGCACAGACAGCAAAACAAACGTTACAGGGGGTTAACCCTTCCCTATGCTATCCTAAACTTAAAGAAAACAAAATTGTCTGGAGTTACACTTAAATTTTTTTTACCTGTTCCAACTTGTATACAAATTCAACTTAAAGGAGAACTATGAGGTGAGTGATTTCCACTCACCTCATAGTTCTAGCTGACCTGTGACAATGAGACTGTCACAGGTCCGCTCAGTAGATCGGGAGGTGAGCGAACACATACCGGCGTTCGCTCACCTCTCGATCCTGTCACGGCTCTCTGCCGTGACAGGGGAGGGGATGGATTCCCCCCTCCCCACTCCGATCCTCCAGCGCTGACTGGCGGAACGGGGGAGGGGGCGGGTACAGCTGGCTCTGCCTCTAGATAGCAGAGCCAGCTGTCACTCACACAGCTGGGCGGATCCAGACATCGATGTCGGGATCCACTCCGGCTGCGGCGTCTCAGTATACCGCGAGCTGCAGCTCGCGGTATACGGAGCTTAGGGTGACGTGAGGACGCTAGTTTGTGTCCTCCCGTTACCCTAAGGAGAACTATGGGGAAAAACACTGACCCCATAGTTCTCCTTTAGGAACAAACCTACAAACCCGATCTTGTTCCTAATGTTTGGGGGTTTTATGTAAATTTCAGGCCTAAAAATGTGGATTATATCAGGGCCCTGGCAATGAAAGGGTTAAATGAGTTTTTGTTTCCCCCGGAGTTCAGCTTTAATACTCAAACTTGACCTGCCAGTTAAAAGCCGTAGAAGCAGTTGCTATAAATGACATGCGATCAGTTCTTGATGAAGTGTAATTGTGTCCTTTCTGTAGGTACCTGGAGCTTTCGGGGAAGGTGAAGTTGGGAGGGGGCGAGAACGCCATCTTGCGCCATACCCAGAGGAACAAAAAGCTGCTGGTGCGGGAGAGGTTGAAACTGCTTTTGGACGATGAAAACTTCCTTGAACTGTCTCCGTTGGGGGGTCTTGGTCTACCGTACGGTGATGTGCCTTCTGCCGGCTGCCTTACTGGTACAGTTAGTCCTTAAGGACCTATAGTGGGAAACCGGGGACAGATATCTGTGCTCGTGCTCGAATCTTTGTTACTGTGTGTGGTCAGCGCTCAGCTCAGAATGGCTGGGTAGATCTTACACATGTGTGATTTATTTAATTCCCAATGCGTCCGAATTTTGTATCCCGTCCGAATTTCGTTCCAAAACTAAACTGAATCTGACATGTGCCTTTTCTGGCCAATCGGATGTGTTTTTCAGTTTAATGCACCTGAATGGGTCTGAAAACAAATTTTTGTTACGGCAACATGGGAGCCATCTGATTGGCCAGAAAAGTAATATGCCGTAATGAAAATTCGTGTTCAGCATTTACATATAATACTAAAGCTGAGGCTCCCAGACCCAAATGGCATTCTGGAGCTCCCAAATGCGATTTTGAAATTCGGATACTGAATGCCGTTCGGGTCTGGGAGCCTCAGCTTTAGCATTAATATCTGTAGATGGTTTTCTGGGGTATTCACAACGAATATTCCTAAGCTCATCCGAAAACTAACGAAAATTTGGATTTCGTCCAAACCCGAACCGAATTGAATTTCAAATCTGAATCCCGAAATATCCGAACTGAATAGAGGTGCACCAAAATGGAAATGTTAAAACGGAAATAAAAAAGTTGTCAGGCCGAAACTGATACCGAAAATGTTTTTTATTTAAATTTTTTTTTACATTTTAAATATTTGTATTTATTCATTTTTTATTAAATATTTTTAACTTTACTTTTAGGGGCTTCGGGGAAATATTGGGGGTTTAGACCACTGATATTTCCCTTTTTTAAAATAGAAAAAGAGATTGAGGACAGAAAGTCCTCAATCTCTTTTTCTGTGTCCCCCGTTATCAATGAACAGGAATCCTTTATACTGAGTGTTCCTGATCATTCATAACATGAAGACAGAGTATGTTTACTATAACTACAACTATGAATGGACAGGAGGAGATGTAGATCACTTCCCAGTCATTCATAATTGAGGATATAGTAACCATACTCTGTCCTCAATTATCTACAAACACTCAGCGATCACTGATCACTGACTGCTTGTACCCGCTCTCCTCTCTGACACGCTGTCACAGGAGGCTGAGCGAGCGGTGTAGGGAGGAGAGCTCAGCCTCCTGTGACAGTGCTGGTTGTCTCCGCCCACACACCGCTCTGCCGGACTGTGATAGGCGGCTGAGCAGTGTGGGAGGAGACACCGGCTGCTCACAGCGCTCTCCTCCCGCAGCGCTCGGCCGCCTGTCACAATTTCTCTCCTCCCCACTGGGACACAGAGCAGCACTCAGCGGGGAGGAAAGAAAGCAGGGATGCGCCGATGTATCAGCAGGAAAACGGCACTTTCGGAATTATGCCAAAAGTGCCATTTTCGGCTGATATGTTTTGGCGGCCGATATATCGGTGCATCCCTAGTACTGAACCAAATTTTTACGCAACTTGCATGTCTAGTAGATCTAAACTCAGCTTCTGCAATCCAAAGGATCTCCCAATTATTCTTGGCTCAACAGGGAACACAGTAGATATAGGACATGAAGTGCCACACCAATTAATATAGTCCACATACGGCTTTTTTCTGTTCGGGTCAGGGAGTCATTCAAGTAGAGTGGCCAACGCGTTTCAAGGATCCAAAACACACCCCCTTCATCAGTGCTTAATGAGAGAAATCATATATGTGGACTACAATCCCTGCCAAACCAGCTGCTGACAAGCCTGACAAACTCCCACCACAGCTCAATACAACTTTCAAACTGCAGGGACTGTAGTCCACATACATGATCTCTCTCATTAAGCCCTGAAGAAGGGGGTCTGTTTTGGACCCCCGAAACGCATTGGTTACTCTACTTAAATGCCCCCCTGACCCTAATGGAATAAAGTTGTATCTGGACTATTTTAGTCGAGGTGGCACTTCAAGTCCTACACCTACTGGGCTTAGCCAGAAGTTCATTAAAATATCGACTTGTTGTCGTTGAGCCAGGTGGTGCCAGTAGGCCCTCCCACAGATATAATTTTGGCTGATTTAGCAGGCAGTGCCTGGAATTTGATCCGTGTATGGCCAGCTTTTAGTATTTGTGCTTCTCTATGCAATGCAGGTAGATCATGGCTGGTGGGAGGGGCAGGCCGATTTCATTGAAAGTAAATCGGAGTGCAGTGTTTGTCCTTGAGCGGTGCTGCACTGCATTCTCATTGAATTGCTCACTTGCTGCGCCCCCTGCTGGCGATCCCCGGAAAGGAAGCGTCTGCTCGTGCACTGACTATGTGTACAAACCCTCAGACACACGTCTTATATATCATTTACATTGTCTGTTGCAGGTGTCGGGAGGGTCTGTGGTATTTGGTGCATGTTTATCGCTAATGACGCCACAGTAAAAGGAGGAACTGCCTTCCCGATCTCCGTGAAGAAGCAGCTGAGGGCCCAGGAGATCGCCATGCAGAACAGGCTGCCCACTGTGTACCTGGTGGATAGCGGAGGGGCCTTTCTGCCTCTGCAGGTACCTTCTGTGCTGCCCCTGTGTTGTTTGGGCTTCTGTCAGCACTGGTGGTGATTATCTTAACTGTTCTTCTTTTGTTTCTCCAGGCTCAGCTGTTCCCCGACAAGGAGCACGGCGGAAGGACGTTTTATAACGAAGCCATCATGTCAGCTCTGAGAATCCCCCAGGTACAGCAACAGATAGGACATGTAGGAGCCATGTTGTAGGGCTAGACTTTGCATTTGATACAGGCTACGTTATGACTGCGTCCTCACTGGGAAGATTCACCCTCTCTTGTAATGATATGTGAGCACCGCTCAGTCCTGGGGTACTGTGAGCCCAACCCGCATGATGATGTGCCCCCCAGGCTTGTAAACAACAGGTTGGGCTCAGAGGCAGTGGGCAGAATGACGCCAGGAATTACAAGAAACAAACAAAAATATATTTTAAAAAATACACTAAAACCTTCATCATCATAAAGAACTTCTGTGTTTATTGGAACAGGTGGCGGTAGTGTGCGGATCATGTACAGCAGGCGGAGCGTACATTCCCACCATGGCAGAGGAGACCATCATGGTGGACAGGATTGGGACTATATTTTTAGCGGGACCCCCACTTGTTAAGGCTGCCACCGGGGAGGACGTATCGGCTGAAGAACTTGGCGGAGCCAAACTTCACTCCAGGTAACACAGCCGAGGATGTATTGGAGGAGCTGGCTGACTTTGCATCACAGTCTGTAACTGGCTTCTTGTATGTCTTGGATGCTCTGTGCTATAATTCCCAGCTCTGTTCCTGTTCATCGGGCAGATTTGGGGTGCTCTTGCTCACCTTTGTGTGTTCCAGCTCCTCCTCTTATGTACCCGATAATATAAAGTTAATAAATAATACAGCAGGTATGGTGGAAGCCTTTCATAATGGGCACAGTGGGTGTGCGACCCGGGAACTCAGCACAGGGATGGTGGGAGCCTTTCATAATGGGCAGCGTGGGTGTGCGACCCGGGAACTCAGCACAGGGATGGTGGGACCCCCTCATAATGGGCACAGTGGGTGTGCAAACCCCGTAACTCAGCACAGGGGTGGTGGGAGCCTTTCATAATGGGCACAGTGGGTGTGCGACCCGGGAACTCAGCACAGGGATGGTGGGAGCCTTTCATAATGGGCAGCGTGGGTGTGCGACCCGGGAACTCAGCACAGGGATGGTGGGAGACCTCATAATGGGTACAGCGGGTGTACAGACCCAGGAACTCAGCGCAGGGATGGTGGAAACCCTCATAATGGGCACAGCGGTTGTGTAGACCCGGGAACCCAGCACAGGGATGGTGGAACGCCTCATAATGGGTACAGCGGGTGTACAGACCCAGGAACTCAGCGCAGGGATGGTGGAAACCCTCATAATGGGCACAACTGTTGTGTAGACCCGGGAACTCAGCACAGGGATGGTGGGAGACCTCATAATGGGTACAGCGGGTGTACAGACCCGGGAACTCAGCGTAGGGATGGTGGAAACCCTCATAATGGGCACAGCGTTTGTGTAGACCCGGGAACTCAGCGCAGGGATCTCACCAATAAAGTATCTAAGAGATTAAATAATTGTCAGTTTGTTTACAGCTATGAAGCGCTTCTCATTGGTCAGTGCGTTTGGGTTCTGCGTCAGGTGTTCATGCTGACCAATGAGTGCTCGCCATTTGCCAGTGGATTTTAAAATATTGAGCACAGAGCTGCACTGCTGTGTACGGCTCCTACACTGGCAGCAGCGGAGGGGAAGGAGCGTTTGCTGATAGTTAAGAGCAGCGGGAGAGGGGGCAGAGTGGTGGGAGTAATATCATTTTCCCAAATTCGCCTGGGAAAGTGGGAATACCCTTTAAGGCCTGGTTCACAGCAAGTACACAGTACATGTGATCACGTACACACAGTGAACCCTCCTGGCTGGAAGGACATGCTGCAAATTTTTGTTCCCAGTGGTTAAGTGTATGTAGGTGACCCAGGTTCTGTGTACACCAATAACGGTAACCAGTATTCCATCTTGAGCGTTGTCTCCATTCTTTGCCTAGAGTCAGCGGTTGTGTCGATCATTTTGCAGCTACAGAACCCGAAGCCTACAGCTGCGCCCGACTCATCATTTCTACCCTGAACTTTGACCCGCCACCCGATGGCGCCAACGTGTTTGAAGATCCTCTTTATGACACTCGTGAGTTAGCGGGGCTCGCACCAAGAGATTACAGCTGCACTCTGGACATAAAACTGGTGAGTGTATCAGATATTAGTAATACAATATGGGGAAATGTATCAAGAATGTACATTCAAAGGGCACAAGAAAGGTAGATTGAAAAGCAGAGACGAATTGGCTTGCAGCTTCTGTTCTAGGCCTCCCTCTAGTGGTTATAAATAGAATTGCACCAGATTAAAACATGACCAGCTTTTACCAGTGGAGAGGTTGAAGCTTACTGGGGTATTGTGCTTCCCTTGTGTCTGTTTTCTGAGTCTCGGGTTCATTTTGTGGCACAGAAATGACAAAAATCCATATACACTTATGTTTGTTTTAACTTTCATTACAAACTCAGTATATTAAGGTAGACATAATGCACCAAGTGCAACGTTGCGGAGTTTTGCTGTACGTTTTCTTGTTTAAATGGTGGATTCAATATATTTAAAGTGTTTCTCATTTGTTTGTTTTTTTCATTTAGTTTCAGCATGAATACCTGGCCCTAGTCATAGCCATTCTGTATCACAAAGCAAAGCCTTCTTATATACCCACCCCCAGTACAAATCAGGACAGATATCACCCCATATATAATTTTAGCTCTGTTTTCGCATCACAAAACAACAGGCTCACTTTAACGCTTCCCTCCTAAGCAGCACATACTCTTTCTATGCTCCCCTGCTGCTCCATTTAGCTGCCAGGAGCAAAAAAAGTACCCAACACTTCCAGGTATTGAAGTGCATGTAACTCATTCCATGTGACATTGCTGGGCCAATCACCAAGCACCAGTTCTGTCTATAGCCTTGTGTAATGTTGGACTTGAGCATCTTACAGATGGGGGTTTCACCTACTCCTAGCATTCAGACCGAACAGTGGTTGAGTGCAAGGACAGTATGTGTTGTTGGGGAAGGGAAGGGGATGACTTAGGCAAAGTACTGATTTACTTTAGGACTGGGGAAGCAAAGGGAAATCTCCCCAATAGGTGCACAAAGAGCAATAAAAACTTGACAGAAGATGTAATGCTTTACTAATCTACTAAAAAAAAGTTTTATTTTATTTTTTTATAGCTATCTCTGTCCCTGATGTCTCCTCACTTTCTGTCCCAGTGACACCTTGTGTGTCCGTTTGTGATGTCCAGATAGTCCGGTGTGTCTAGTAGGACAGGAAGTGAGGGGAAATCACCCCAGCTACAACACAGACAGTAATAAAAACCTAACAAAGGCTTTAACCCTACTCTTTACAGTATAAAAAAGGGGAAGGCAGAGGACTATGCAAGTTTCAACTCTGAGAAAGTGGGTGCAGTGGGGGGCCAGGGGCTAAAACTAGATGCAGCTTTTATGCGAGGAGATATGTGTGTAGGTTTCGTCTTAAAAATGTCCATATGTATGATGCTTAAGACATAGGATTGTAAGCCCCTAGGGAGCAAGGGTTGATGCAAATTACCTGTGTTGTGTGATATATTGTCCTTTTATACATAGAAGGACGGTATATAATACTCC